ATATATATATATAGTGGAAAAATGTTTCATACAAATATTGTAGAGTTTCAACAAATATATCAAACAGCAATAGCTATTTGACCTCGAGCGTAAGTGTGGAGAAGTTTTCAAAGTTAACTTTGAGATTTTAAATAGAAATTCCCACGTTTTATTAATATTCTTGTAGTTGACATCAAGACCTTTTTAAAACATTATAATAAATCTTCTTTTGGTTAAGTGTTTTTCAAGATATGAGTCGACATCTGAACAAAGGTTCGATTAGATAATATCAAGATTCCTGAGTAGTCATTCACAACCATATTGAATTATGACGTCAGAAACGAGAAATGACACGTTAATTTTTATTGCCATTTATAAATAAAGACAATTTAGATAAAACAAAATGAGGGGTTTGTTCGCCTCGTATGCTCCAGCATGCTCCAATGTGCTCCTGTTATAGCTTCTACTCCAACGAGTTAGAGAGAGTAAATGCTATGGTAGGAGCATGTTAGAGCATGCGATACGAACCTGCGATTGCATTAATAAATAATCGTAAAGAGTGATAAAAAGCACATTAAATGCTTTTATTCAATGCGCATGCATAACTTATTTTCACTTACACGTCTTTTATCACTTTTTACAATTATTTACTGACTGTCAGGTGGGGATAAGCATAGTTTTCGTCCATTTTTACAAATTTTTTAATGCAATCTCATCATCTTGTTTTATCCAAATTGTTTTTATTTATAAATGGCATATAATAAAAATTAATGTGTCATTTTTCGCTTCACGATTCAATATGGTTGTGGTGACTACTCAGGAGCCTTAATGTGGTGATATCTAAATTTGTTAATTCATTTCAAAATACTTCAATGATATTACGATATCATTGTAGTGTTTTAAAGAAATTTTAGAAGTCTATTCTGTAATTCTTAACGACTCTAACGATATTGTTAAATTATCGTTACGCAACTATTTTACTGTATATAAAAATCAGCGCAATGACAATGTAACAATATCGTTAAGAGTTACAGAATAGGCCCCTAACTACAAGAATATTGAATAAAAAGTGAAAATTTCCATTTGAAACCCTACAACTTTTGTGAAACAATTTTCCAATATACCAATACTTTCTATGATAATTAGCCGTTTTGTAACTTTCAACACGCACTGTATACATATCTGTATATACGCAGGATTGGGAAAATTACTTTGTAAAAGTAATTAGTTATGATTCCAGCTGATATTGTTTTTTTCTGAAAAAGTAACTAGTTATCGTTACAAAGTTACAAATTTTGAAAGTAACACGTTGCAGTTAATTACTTAAAAAGTAACGAATCTTTACTTTTCAATGCCTTTCTGATAAATTTTTGATTTTATATAAAAAGTTATGCTATTCTGAATACGAAAATTGTATATTTTTATAACATTACTAAATTATTTTATACTAAATATTTTGTTATTTGTAATATTATGAAGCCTAAGATATAGAAAATGAAATAGATCGAATAATCCTTACCAAAATAATTTTTCGAAAAAAATAGCACAAATACAGTCGTTATAAAATCACAAATTTTTTGCTTTAAAAAAAAGAATTTTTGTTTTTAAAGCAGAGAATTTGTGCTTTTAAATATTATTTTCACTAAAAATTACTATATTTGTAAAAATTAATTTTTTTAAATAATTTTTTAACGAGTGACTGTTAAAAACTTCCGCAAGATTACTTAAATGTAATTCCTATATAGTACATTATTCTAGCAATATTGCAATAATGTTGTAACATCCCAGTAATATTGCAGTAATATTAAAAATGTTGCAAGCTTTTGTGCTCTATGGAATTAAGTTAAGTACAGTTACTTAAAAAACGAAACTCTAAGGGCCATGATAAAAAAAACTGAAGCAGTAAGATGTAAGCAGTAAAAAAATCATTGTTGAATTGGCTACTGCTTACATTAAGGTCTTTACTGTGATTGGTCAATTTGCTTATTGCTTATGTTTTACTGATTAAGTCTTTTTTATAACTCTAACCGTAACTTTGTTATAAATAACAAATTAATCCCCAATTCTCGTATATATGATGTATGATGTATTATGAAAAATCGTATTATATTCATTTGCTCAATATTGAATGTCTTGTGGACGTCTGCAATAAAAAAGGGAAGGACGCTGCTATTTGGAAGCGAATCTATTTTGAAAGAGTAAAGTCGGATCTATTATATAAATCCAGAGATCATAGGAAACATAATAAATTAATTTTATTAATTTATATAATTGAAACAACTTAATGTTTTGTCAATTAGATCATTATTATTGTTTATTTATTTATGAAATAAGAGGCACAGTAAGTGGAGAAGGCTGGGATTATTCAATTTTTCATATTATAGTTCGGGATCCTCTTATATATTCGGAAAAATTATTTACAAGACACACGGAACTTATTTTCGATAAATTTACTATAAATTTACTATAAATTTACTATATTAAAAGAAATAAAAATTCACGCGTATAATAAATCACTTGTATCCTCTTTTCGTCAGTTTATTGTGATCTATCTATTCACAAGTGCTGCTTAATAATTATCAGACCCTGCGCGCGCGCATACACAAATACACACACACGCACGCACGCACACATACATACACACACATATATATAATGGCATAAATAATGGAATGTAGAAGGATTTATATTTTGCAGGCTGTTTTTATATTTTATAGAAGTTTTCGTATTTGTCATAATGATAGTGTATACATTTTTACATTTTGTTTGATTTTTTGTAATAGTATTATCATAAATTTTAATTTTTTCCTAATTATGTAGGACAGAAATGGATTTCTTTAAGTTAATATTTCTGTAAAATTTTGTTTCTCAATTAAACAAACTATTTACAATATAATAATATATTGACATACATGATCGATAATACACCGATAATCTCTGGATTTAAAGCTGGCTTTGCGAGTATTATACTCTATATACATATATGTATATGCACATGTAATATGTATATTCATATATGTAGAAAAATAATACATATTATTATACTTTATATATGTACACACACACACACGCGCGCGCGCGCGCGCGTGTGTATGTGTACATAGAAAAAGTAATAAACACATTTTTTCATAATATACATATGAAATGACATGCAAATTGCTATACGTTTTCTATGATATCGAGTGACAAATATAACTAATGAGAAAACATTTTGATTCGTGTGCGAAATTTAGAATAGAAAACAAAGAAGACTAGCTTAGATATCTTATTTCAAGTATTTTTTACAAGACGAAAAATCACAAATTCTGATAAGAATCCGTAATAAGCAATCCGTGTTCTAAGCAAATGTCGTATATTTATTATTGCATGTTATAGACAGATTTTCATTCATATTTTTCGCATGCGGTTTCCCAGCAAATAAACTAACGTTATTTATCGTCATTTTGACGTCCTTTTGACGATATAGATATCATTTTGACGATACAGATGTCATTTTGATGTCAAAATAATGATAAATAACATTAGCTTGATTGTTGGATTCTCTCTTAATGTTTCTTTCTTCCCGCAAAAGAATTTGCTAGGCTGATTTTTAAATCTAGAAGGCTGTGTGTAATTCATACGTATTAATAAAATTGCGAGAAAAAGAATGATAATGTTACATGTGCAATAATGTATAATTCCTTATAATCAGCATATAATGAAAAATATAAAGAAATGTTGACTACTATTTAAATTCAGAAGAAATTCTTAAATTTGCAGAAATATGCTAGAAGTATTTTGCTACAGAGAATCGCATAAATCAGCCTCGCATTCTTTTAATGTCTTTTATAATTTATACATTTGTTAAATATGTAATAATAATTAGCAATTTATAAATGCGCATTAACCTATATAATTTATTATATGCATTTTTTACTACATAACATCTTCATAATCAATATCTTAATCTTTACGTAAACATGTTTATCTTTCTTTATGATAATTAACACGATAGTTCTAATGTTGATAGTATTCTTCTAAAATGCTAGTCAAACCGATAAAAATCGGAAAAATTTATTAAAAATTACATTTAAGTAAACCAACGTTTTATTTGTTAAATAAATCTGTACTAATTAATTATGATTATACCACTTTTATCATTAATGATTATTATTATCACTATAATATGTAAGTATATGCTCAATAAATACTTTTTTAATACTCAAATGGATCCATTTATTTTAGAAACTACTGTTAATCCAATCCCTAGGGTTCTTTATTACATTAGATTTAATAAAGTTACGGAAGGAAGCATGAGAGAACGCAACTGACACCTATCTAGTAAATTAATACCCTGAGACGTATGCTACGTGTTGTCATCATTTCATGTTTAATCATGTTATCCTTGTTCGCAGAACATTAAACAAGGATAAAATGATACATCATGGACATTACTCGTGCAATACAATACAGCCATTTTATTGCATTATAGTGTATATTTTGTATGTTTAATTACATACAATCAATTCAATCTCAATTTTTTATATAATTTGAAAATTTCTAATAACCTATAATACAAATTATCTCGCTTTATCTTATACGGAGATCAATTATGTCTTTATATATACGTATACACTTATTATGTACATACGTGTATAAAGTATAAAGCGAAGCTGGAAATCTCGTAAACGTAAGCTATTTACGTCACCGATTATATAATAACAGTTTGTAATGGTGGAAGTTATTTCATATGTGCAGCATTGCGTAAAATTGTTCCGAAATAAGAAAGATTCGAACAAAATGTTGAAAAGGGTGATATTTTAAACATCATGACAAATAGCTATAAAAATGATTATCGTATATTAAACATCTTTTCAAAAAGTCTGAAAATAACTATAAAAGAAGAAAGGTAACTTTCTCATAACAATAAATTTTACAATTTTCAATTTTCTTATTAAAAAATTAAGATTTTCAAATTTTCTATTTAAAGTCTATCGAAATCAAGCCTCCGAAAAGAGAATAAGATCTTAGAAAATACAAACATTATGAAATTGAAAAATTTTATTAAATATTCTATTTCTATCTTTTTACATTCTATAAAAATAAAATAAAGATGAAACGATATGTAAACAAAAAATTTATCAAAACCAATATTTCTGAAATATTCCTATAATAAATGTCAACAATAAAAAATGTAATTATTTTAAAATATTTTATCCAGTACGACGTATTACTATTGTATTAAAATTTTATAAAACATATAATAATGTAGATTTATTCTGGAAAAAAAAATCAGTCATTTGATAAACATGCACACGTTATTCGTATAACTCTAGTTAGATTTTATTATCTAGCAACCAATTCCGAAACTGATCACAATGCCAGAAAAGTTCCACTTTCGCAGAAACTATCGTAAAATATATCCGACAAAATACACCAGATCAAGTTAAAGATTAAATTTGTATTATTATTCCACGCCCACGAGGCATGCGTGCTGTAACGAAACAGCGTATTATCGACCTTGAACAGTAACTATAATTATCGTTATTATTTTTATCACCTGCTGTCATCGTAATTTGATATCATCATTTTTATTGTTTATTATTTCATAATAATTCACTATTCTATTTTATTCGTTATCTATAGCCGCGGCCGATTCATTACAACGCTTATGTCATAAGCATCAGTCTTTGTTTAACATTTGACAAACAAAGATGGAATAATTTTTAAGCGTTGTAAGCATGAGTCGACTTATCAATGAATGTGCAATACAATTCCATATTTCAAAATTACATTATTTAATAAAAGTATTTCTTATACAAAATATTATTTACATTAATCACATTAATATTTCAAAATGTAACTTTTGTAGATATAACTATAGTAATATGAGCATTATATTTTATGTATATAATATATTCTGAAATTTTAAATTGTGTAGAGTTGCAATTATAACCACAATTGTAATTATATTCTTTACATAAATAATAATTATTAAATAACAATGTATTAAACAACAATATATTAAAGTTAAAGATAAAATTTTATTTTCTATGTATATTTATTTTTATTTATATGTCTGATTAAAACTTGTATTCTATCTTGTTATGTGTTTACTTGTAATACATTATTAATTATTTCGATTGAATAGCAGTTTTATATAAAACTGTTTTTATGATAGTTTTTGTGATGCTGTGTTTTTTTCTGAATGTAACCTATGCGACACATCGATGTATATATCTAATTTCCACTTATACGTGCATGTACTATGAAGCAAACATATTGTAATTGCGCAGTATTTCAATGCATCGAAACTTATTCAAATCTGATATGTCGGTCAATTATACTAATCACGCTACAGCAAATTTCCGAGCATGTATATCTCTGTACAAAGCATTCTCTCTCGCATGTCGATGATGTAAGATCATATACAACACTACAGACAATATAAATATGAGCCATAGAAATACAATGTATTCAGTTGTCGGATTAACTTTGTGCAAGTTGTTCATTTCTATCACTAAAACGTAAGAAAATGAAGAGATCACTGACACTTTTCATTTTAGCGCTAATTGCTATCGTAAGTTCATTTTATTTTCATACACGTATAATATACACATGATTCTTTTTTTAATTTATTTCAATAAAAATTTAAATATAGAACATTTTATACAAATGGATTATAGAATTCACAACATACAAGAAAGTTGTATTATTTACTTCTTAATTTTTAATATCGCATATTTTATAAGCAATTTAAATTAGGATTATATTGTACATCCTACGGATTTTTGAAAGGAACTAACTTTTTTATGCAATTTTATTAATTCATACGATCATTCGACATGTAAATAAGTTAAAAGAAATGCTATTAAATTTAGCTGTACATTTCGGAGATATTAACGAAATCATTTTTTATTATTTTTAATACATCTCGAAAACAACACAAAATATGAAAAAATACCAACAGAACTTTTTTTTGTAGGAAATCAAATTTTCTATCGACTAGATATATTGAAAAATTTTTTCGATATTATAAACTCTAAATGTAGAAAAAAATTGAAGTTTATAAATCATTAAAGTATTTAAAGTACAAAATAAAAGCAATAATGTATTGAGTAAAAATACGACCGATAAGATTAAACACATGTAAATGGAAATGGCTATTCTATCAAGGTCTAATTTCCGTGTCTAATATATTTTTTGTTTGTGGATTTATACAATTTCCAATTAAAGTTAACTGCGCACTGATTATTTGTAACCCTAAACCAAAGCCGGAATAGTACGAGTAATTTTAATAACTTAAATGTTTATCTTAGAAGACTCAAAATACAAATCTGTAAATAATTTAATTGCAATTAAATTATTTAAATTAATTAAAATACGTATACAAAATACAAATACTGTCGATTTTAATGTTTGAAATATAATAAAATATAGAATACTTTTGTATACCCCCCACTGAAATATAAAATACAAAATACAAGTTATATACTTCAAATACAATGACAGAATTAGAATGTATTATGCACTAATTCTTTTATAAAGTGGTAAAAATAATTTATATCTTTTATACCATATAATTACTTTAAGTATTATATAATTGTGATCATCATAATTTAAGATTGTCTATTAATAAAGTACAAAGTAATATAATTGAATTTTAGGTAATTGCAAATGATGATAATAAAACCGTGGAAGACATTGCAAAAATGTTCAACATCGATGTACCAAAAGTACAGACATGTGTGGACGAAGAAGGAATCAAAATAGGTAAATTATCTAGAAATAATGAATTTATAAATAAATATAATTCTTTTAATATCTCATTATTATTATTATTATTATTATTAGGAATCAAAATTTAGAATATTATACATTAAAAATTCCTAATTTTAAATTTATAGTTTGAAATTTAAAACTTAAGAATAAAAAATAACTTTAAAAATATTGCAATTTCTAAATCTTGGCGAAAAAAATTTAGGAGAAAGCATTAAATAATGCACAATAAAATTGTGTATGTATATATTTTAATAAAATTTTTTTTATATCTAAAATGTGTATTCGTAGATTATATGTAATTAAAAAAAATGTCGCAATTTTTTAGAGCAGTTAAGGACTTGGTTGGAAACGTTTAATCGGAATGGCACGGTTGAGGAGAATGAAGACGCTAACGGAGAATTAAAGCAAACTTGTAGTTTTATAGCTTGTCTATTGGAAAAGAAAAGAATGGTAATAATTTGTAATAATTATTATACTAATAAATTATTAGATATAAAAAATTATGGTAAAAAATATAGTGCGAAATTGAAGCAATTATAAAATAACTATTTTTTCAATCATGTTTTAAGACACATAATAAATGCGTAAAAAATAGTCTATTTTTGTAAGATAAATTTCTTATAAAAGTTAATTGAAATTTTAATACTTCTCAACTCATACAGCACAGACTTCCATGGGACGGACGTTCTAAAGGATGTCCTACGTTCTGAAACTTCGGATAAAATGTGCTGTATGGGAATAGTTTACGATAAATAATTACACGGATTAAAATATAACGTATAATATACCGAGTTTCCCAGAATGACCGCCAAATATTTCGTGTGCTGATAGAGACTAAACTGAATCGAAAAGTCCTCTATCATTTTGCAATATTCGCAATAATTTTAGCAAGATGTTAATTATTAAAATTTGCTGAATATTGGTTTTCAATAATTCTTTACTCAAATACTATCAACTTTACAGAAAAACAGCAAGAGACAAAAATTGTTTATTTTCTTCTCATAAAGTTTTGAGAATTTTTTCAGAATTTGTTAGCACATTTTTTCTCATGTAAAAAAAGTTGCAATATACAATAAGAAAATGCAGTAAAACTGCAGAAAAGGGGAGTAACCGTCAATGATCTTTATCTTGACATACGTTGTCAAAGTCACCCTGAGCAATCTCCAACAAGTTTTAGCTATCGCTCGTTATTCAAAAAAATTATTAACAAAAACAATTTAAGAAAAAACTTTATTTCTGCTTAGGGGTGCATGACGTTCACGCGAAGCAACTCCCATCTCACCTCCCCCTGTTTGGGGCGCACGATTTCCACGCGAAGCGACTCCCATCCCACCTTTCCCCTCTACTTGGATTCGCACGACTTCCATGCGAAGCGACTGCCACCCTATCTTCCCCCTGCATGATTTCCATTCGAAACGACTCTCATCCTACCTCCACGTTTCACGTGGAAGTTATCGCCTTCCAAGCTAATTAAACCATATATCGGATTTGGTTAGGGTTAGGTTATTATATAATAACCCTAACTCTAACCAAACCAGGTATCGTAAACCATGTATGCAGAGTAAAGCAGGAAAAAATTTTTTGTTCTAAGAACAAAAATTATATTAGAAAATATATTATATGAAAATCGTTCGTCCGTAAATAGGGGGGAGGGGGGGAGATGGGATGGGAGTCGCTTCTCGTAAAAAGTTATAAAATACACTTTAAAGTAGAAAATTTCTGTTTTATATGTTAGAGTTTTATGAAAAGAAAAGAAGCAATTTTTATCTCTTATTGTTTTTCTGTAAAATTGATAGTACTTGAGTAAAAAATTATTGAAAATCAATATTCGACGATTTTTAATAATATCGTGTTCACTATTGCGAAAATTGCAAAATAGTAGAAGACCTTTCGACTCAGTTAAATCCGTTCTACACATGCTTACGAAATATTTGACGATCACTCTGAGACATCCCGTATATTGCCCAACATAAACTTAATGAAAATTAATTAGAATAATAGCCAATAATTAATCTTTTAGATAGACAACCTGTAATTCTAGGTAATGTGCTATGTTCTTTCTTTTTATTTCAGATGGAAGATGAGAAGTTAATTGTAGACAAGATAATTGAAAGTATAAAAGAAGAGGATAGAAATAATAATATGTCAGAGGAAATTTTAACAAATTGGAAGAACTGTATGAATTCATGTAAGCAAACTCAAAATAGCATGCAAAATGTTTCTTCTCTATCTGTTTCTCTATCACAATTTTAATTATAATTAACAACAATAGAACAAACTTAATGAGAGTGCGATGCAGTAAACAGAGTGTAATTAATATAATTTTTACGCTTTATTTACTGTGTCGCAGTCTCATTAGTCTTATTTTGCTGTTGATAATTTTGAGAATTTGTAGGAACTTTTCTTCCTTTGTGTGAATTAGTTGTAATTATATTATGCAATGCGATTAAGGAATACTTAAAAAAGGTAACTACGACAATGCATAAATGTTGAGTCGCTATTAAGTGCATCTACAATTATTACAATTATTACATCAAACAAGCTTTCAAATAAATTATCTGAGAAACTAAATAAATATTTAAAAATCTAAAGGTCTTTTATATGATGTCGGTATATATTCTCGATTGTAACGAGTTCGTATAAAATCGATGTAGTTAATCTGAAGATCTAAAAATGTTTTATGTGCAAAAAGTGACAACTATTTGCATTTCGATACCAATCCTCGTATATACGTTCACATACAGAACAATTTTAATCGTTTCGTACTTGCCATTTTTTGACGGAATAATTAGCATTTAATTTATGTCTTATTAAAGGATATTAGAATCGTTCATTATGAATCTTTAGTCAAATTTCAGAATTCAAAATGGCGGATCCAAAATTTTTTATTTGAACGATCTGTCTTATCGCGTGCTTCAAAAAAATTCCATAATTGCTATTGATACGATCTTTTTTATTTACATCTTGTCAATTATACATCTGACAAGTGACTCGAAGAGTTTCTGGAAAATGAGTTCCATTCAAAGTCAACAGAACTTAGCATTTTAATCTGCCGTATCAAATTTTGGAATTTTTACATATTCGGTCCGCCATTTTTAATTTCGGAATGCTATTTTGAAGAACTGATGACAAATCTGCATTTCAATGTGAACGTGCGACTCAACATGTATTTAAAAAACGAATATTTGTTTATATTTTAACATATTCATAATTTATATTAATTGGAGAAGATTATTTTGTTTCATTGTTAGTTACTAAAATAGTGTAGGCACTTTTTAAATACGTTTTTGTATAAACGTTTTGTCAGAAGTTGATATTCCAATATGAATTTGCGTATATAATGCGCACTTTTATATTACATGTATAACAATATAATGTACATAGTTTTATGAATATTTTACAATATTGCTTAGAATTTTGTTTTTAATTTTTCCAGTAAATGAAAACAGTCAATTGACTCGGGAAGATAGAGCCTGTGGTATACTATATTGCGTTTCATCCCAGTAAACGATGAGAGAGTAAAACAAGATTGTAAAATGCAGTATATCGGCTGGATAGAAAATCATAATATTTCCTATATATATATA